AATGTAACCTGCCTTGGCTTGGGTGCTCGGAGTAATCCCGTTTGCTGGCCCTGGCCGGTTAGGTGGGCTGTGCCCAGTGAGGTGCCCCTTGCTGTTGTAAATGCACAGAACCGTAGCATCATCCCAGCCGTGAGAGCTGGTCTCTGAGAGGAGGTGATGCTGAAGGGCAGAGGGATGGGTGGAGGCAGGCAGGCATGGAGGAGGGGCGAGGCCAGAGCATTCAGCACCTCAGCGGGGAAGTGGTGCCCGAACGTGGAGGAAACGGTGCATTCTCTCCCTGTCCCGCCCCGCTGGCCCTGCTGCTTGTCCCGCTGGCCCAGGGGTGCCTGTGCTTGGCCGCCGATCCTGCCACCTGTCCCGGTCATGCCACTGCGTGTTCCTTCCTGCCCTGGTTCCGCCCATTCTTGCCTCTTCCTTCTGCTGCAGAGAGACCTCCGGGCTCTCCCTGCCAAGCTGCTTTTCGACTGGAGAGGCTTTGTCCCTGGACGCGCAGCCACAGGGCTGGAACCTGCAGGACCCACCTGGTGCCATGGGGCAGAGCGGGAGGGGAACCGAGCAGGCACGCCTCGGCTGGCAACCACAGGAGCGGTGAGAGCGTGGGCAAGGCTGATCCCAGTGCCTGCAGCCTGAGAAATTGCTGCCTTTTCCTTGCGTGAGAGGGAAACGTACAAGCTTGCCCATTTAACCTGTGCAAAATGGAGAGATCGGGGGATCCCTTTGCATCCTGCCCACCATGTGTGTTTCTGCAAGTCTTGCCCCTCGGCTGTGCAGGCAGTGACTTGGGCAGCAAGGCTTCTTTGGTCTCTGGGGATACACTGAGCACCTCCACCCGTCCGGCTGGCTCCTTCTTGCCATCTTCAGCCGGCGTGAGCGCAGTTTTGTGAAGCAAACTGAAGTAGCTGCTTCTAGATAAATAACCAGGGAATGATCTGTGAGCCTGGAGCGTTGTTTCTGCTGTTTCAATAGTCACATAACTGGATATGTACAAGGTTGATTGTGACAGCCGTTGTCTTTCAGAGCTCTGGAAGTCGTACTCCAGTATAGGAGAGATCTCGAGGTGTTGGAGCGAGTGCAGAGGAGGGCAACAAAGCTGGTGAAGGGCCTGAAGAACAGACCTTGTGAGGAGCGATTGAGGGAGCTGGGTCTGTTCAGTTTGACGAAGAGGAGGCTGAGGGGGGATCTCATCATGCTCTACAATTACTTGAAAGGACATTGTAGACAGGTTGGTGCGGGTATCTTCTCCCAGGGGACTGGGACAGAACAAGGGGGAAGGGTTTCAAGTTGCAACAGGGCAGGTTTAGGCTGGAAAGTTTAGGAAGAAATTCTTCACGGAAAGAGTGGTCAGACCCCGGAACAGACTGCCTAGGGAGGGGGTTGAGTCGCCATCCCTGGATGTGTTCAAGTGTCACTTAGATGTGGTGTTGGGTGATGTGGTTTAGGGGTGACCTTGTAGTGCAGGGTCAGTGGTTGGACTCGATGATCCCAAGGGTCTTTTCCAACCTGAATTGTTCTATGATTCTGTGATTCTATGATTCAAGGGGCTTCATAAGTGCCCACCACTGGCCTGGGCACACAGAGGTGTGCTCTGAGACACGAGTGTGAGTGCCTGTGTGCAAACCCTGGCGTGTGTCACAGTCAGCTGGAGGAGCTGGTGGAGGGTGCAGCAGCCAAATTTTTAAGGAGTGATCCCCAGCCTATGGTGAAGACCTTCTGCTTCATGCGCGGTAGCCTCAGCATCTCCACCCACTGCAAAGGTTTTACTGGGAGCCCAGTGTGCATCCAAAAGCCCAGTTTGTTGGCTGATCATTGCTGGGAGGAGGAGGTGGAGGCAGGAGAGGTCCTTTTGCTGATTGGGTTTTTGCGGCAAGTCTCTCCATGAAGGCTGGAGCAGCTGGCAGCAGATGCTGCAGAAACGCCAGCCTGGATGTTGGGAGAGGACATCCACGAAAGGGCTGTGGCCAGCAATGCCAAGTTTAGCCCCGGATCCACGTACAGCTGTATGGGAGAGACAGCTTCAGAGCTCAGCAGCCCTGGAAAGCAAAGAACACCTGTGCAGGCACGTGAGCCGAAATCTTGCAAAATAGGTCTCATCGGCCATGTTGGTGCCCGGGGCTGTCACTGCCGCTCTCCCTTGCTGTCGTCTCTGTGATGCCGGGGGGACTTCTTGGTTTTACACACCAGTTTGGGCTCAGATTATTTTGGCGGTTTCAAAACCTGCCTCTGTTGAAACCATGTGCAGGAATTGCCAACCTGCATGCAAATCTGGATATGGGCTTTTTTAGCAGCCCTAATACATACTTTTCATAGATGATGGTCATGCCTACAGAATACTGACAGTATCTATAAGAAAGAAAAAAAATTAATAAAAGGGTTCTTTTTCACTTTGCATGCGGCTAGCCTTGGTGTAAGTAGTTCCTTTGGTAGGAGAGCAGGACTGTTTTTGAAGTGCTTGGCTCGCATGCTGTGCAAGGTGGGTCCGAGCGCAGAGGGCAAGGTTTCGTGGTGCATGTGCCAGTGGGAGCACAGCTGCTGGTTTGCCGTGCAGACAGGAGGATTTTTAAGACTCAGTTGATGTCAGTGACTTGGTTGGGGTCCGATACCAAGAGGGTACATTGCTCACGGGTTTGCTCTGAATGGTGTTACACCAAAGGAGGTTTAGACTGGATATTAGGAAGAGTTTGTTTACTGAAAGGCATTAGAACAGGTTGCCCAGGGCAGTGGTGGAGTCCCTGTCCCTGAAGGTATTTAAGAGTTGTGTATGTAGACACAGTGCTTAGGGATATGGTTTAGTGGAAGACTTGTCAGTGTTAGGTGAGTGGTTGAACTCTGTGTTCTTAAAGATCTTTTCCAGTCTAGGGGATTCGGTGGTTCTGGTGCTTTGGGTACAGCTGGTTCAAGCTTCAGCACTTCCATGCGCTGCTGGGGTTTTGTTTGGATCCAAACGTCTGCTTAAAAACCTCCCAAAACAGCAAAAAAACAAAGAAGTGTAAAGGATGTGTGCTCAGGGAAACAGACTGTGTGTGCTAATTCACTTTGTGCTGTGCCTCTTTTCCAGTTGGTGCACTACGTGTGGAGTTTTCCCAGCCAGTGAACCTGGAAGAAGTGGCGAGAATAAACCCAGAGGTCAAAACAGGAGGTCGTTTTGCTCCAAAGGACTGTATAGCACTTCAAAAAGTAGCAATAATCATACCGTTCAGGAACCGAGAGGAGCACCTGAAGTACTGGCTGTATTACCTGCACCCAGTTCTCCAAAGGCAGCAGCTGGATTATGGAGTATACATTATCAACCAGGTAAGATGCTAGAGACATGGGGCTTTATACCCCTCTTGTAACAGTGCCCTCCTCCCCTAAAACAGGAGTGCTTGCTTTACCCGGAATGGCAGTGGGCTGGCAGGCAGGGATAAGGTTGCTTTAAAGAAGTGAAAATGAACAGGAGTGATTATGAACGTGAGCGATTTTACCTCACTGATTTTGGTGGCAAGGTCCCCATGTCCAGTCAGACACGGTTCACGCTAAAGAGCTTCTGCTTAAAAACACACTGTGTGAGGAGGGAAAGAATCCAAAATAGTGTGGCCCAATCTACTATCTCTTTTACATGCTCCTTTTTCCCAACTGCTGCAGAAATTGGCATACAGCTTTTTAAGGTGACAAGGTAGCATTATGCCTAATCTGGTACTGGCTGTGCTATAAAGCTGTAGGATTTCACTTACTTTCTCGAGAAACTTCTGTTCACGTTAGTAATAGTGCACAAAGTGTCAGCAAAGCTGTGGCAGTGGAGCAGGTGAGTGATTGTCTTCAGGTGAATAGAAGAGAGAAGAAACAAGTAGTGATGGGAGAAAGGGTTGGTGTTTTCTTTCTTGATATCTGATGGCCTTAGATCTGTCTTTGCAAGGGATTAAAGAAACCCCATGTTTCACTCTTAAATTTTACCATAATGATGGTTAGGTAAGTAGGAGTTCTTCACACCTGGAAAAGCTTGCTGCATGTAGGCACTTGCATGGGCTGCAGCATGAAAGGGCAGAGGCACTTCTGAGAGCCCGAGCAGAGCCCAACGGCTGGACAGTCTTACCACGGATTTTCTCTCTTGGATATGTATATATCCTGTTTTCTCAGCTCTGCAAAAGTCAAAATGAAATAGCACGCTTCTTTAAATGTAACTCTTCAGATGTGCAGATCAGCTGGTGTGTTTGTGCCTGTCAAACACCATGAATATTTAAACTGGTCACCCAAGCGATAATTAGAATTGAAAGTAAGGGGAGACCTTTTTCTAGAGAGGAAACCAATACACCCTTACTGCTATTTCTCTTACTTTGCTCATTTCCATGGTGCCAGAAATGTGGGCAAAGGTGGAACGTGGGGAATTAGCGGTAGGTCCCAGGCGCAGCAGCCGAGATGCTCGGGTGTATGTGGCCACCTGTGCTGGTGGCGTTGCCGAGGGTTTGAGGCGTTTCCTTGTCGTGTGAACTGCAGTGCTGAGCACTGAAATTAAGCTCTGTAAGGAGAAGCCTTCCCGTGTAACACAACAGCTGCCATCCGGCAGCGCGGGGCCAGCCCCAGCACTTCCTCCTTGCGTTTCCTCACACGTGCAAGTCACCGGTGCCGTGAGGTTGCTTGAGCCACAGTCCCCACCGGTCCCTGGGGTGCAGGTGGGTGAAGGTGACAGGGCAGCATCCCCCTCCCTTTCTCTTGAGTGTGTCTTGGGAGCCACGCAGCGGTCCCGCGGTGGGGGCTGCTGCTTTCCCGGCTGGGCGCAGCTCACCAGCTCCAGGGACACTGCTTGTGAGCGAGCGGCCATCTCCATTGCAAGGAGCCGGCAGTGCAGCTGGGGCTGGCATTTCCCCCGTCAGTGATGTTCAAGGGTAAGGAAAGCGAGGGGCCTGTTCACGCGGAGCTGTGCTGGCGCCGCAGAGGCAGGCAGGGCGCACAGGCCGCTTTTTGGAGCTCCTGCTGCTGCTGCTGCGGTGGTGCAGGCTGGCTTGCGCTGCCCTGCGTTCCTGGCTCCCTCTCTTCTCTGGTCCTGTCCTCTGGCACTGGGGTGGGGGATGAGCTGTCTGTGTGCTCTGAAGTTAACCCTCACAAGAATTACTGAAGAAAATGTTTTTTTTCAGAGGCATCCCTTGATGCAAAGTTGGAGCAGGAGTGACATGCGGTACCCAGGGTATGTCCTGGACACATCCTGCAGTCAGATGTAGGCTAACAAGTATGACTGTTTGATTTGTAAAATAAACACACTCCTTCTGAATACCCCTTACAAGCTGTGTCTGGAAGAGGCAGAGTAGTCAGTGGTGGTAAACCCGCTGGATGCATCTCTCAAGGGTGAGTGGGAACATTGAATAGAGAGATTTCTGCCAGAAATACAGTAGGAAAGCAGCTTTATTTCTCTGCTGTCTTGACAATTGCTTTTCTCTTTTTCTTGTCTGTCCTTCCCTTTGCATCTGCCCTCCTTTTTTTATTTTATTTTTCCTTCTAGTGGGGAAATATTACCTTTACTTGTTAATCCTGTCTATATCAAAGCAATCACTGAAGCAAGGAGAATTACTGTGTGATCTGGTTCTTACACGCTGCCTACGTGCTGTTCTGTGCTCTGCATCTCATAGAAAGAAAGAGGAGCGCTGAGCCCTGCTACTGCTGCACTGGTAATGTCAAACTTCTTCCTTTCAGCGCAATGTGTTTCCATCATGAGTCCATTGTGTCTCCACCATGCTGTCCTTGCGTGCCTGAGTGCCTCAGAGTAGGACTTGGCTGAAGTCAGGGGGAACAATGTTTTTAAAATGTCCATTGCATAACAGGAGCCAGTGGAAAAAATATATATATAACGCTCCACCCTCCGCACTCCACCCCCATAAAGCCCAAACCTGACACGTGGAGTAGCAGTTCTGGGATCTTCCAGATAAATGTGAGATGAGGCCACAGGGCTGGTCACGCTTTTTGTGGCATCTATTCAATGCTGTGCAGGCTGGATGTCATCAAATGAGACGGCAGGGGTGAATTCGTGGTGTCTCCCTCAGCCCTACTTGCTCCCACTGTTACCCACGTGCTCTCCAGCACCTTCAGCCATTCCGCCTGCGTGCTCACGTCTAGAAATGATTTTTCTTGCTGCAGTTCCAGCTGTGCGAATGCCCAAACAGACGGACAGACGTTTGGGAAAGGGGAAACTTAGCAAATTTCCTGAAAAACGTGTCGTTGTTGAACCATTTTCCACTGGCTCCTGGCACTGCCTGCAGTGTCCTCAGCAGCAAATCTCCAGAGTGTGTGTGTGTGTCTGTGTGTGAACGCAGAGTGGCTGGGGTGGGGCATCACGCTTACTCGTGTTGTTTTGCAGGGGGGCATCAGGACCCCCAAGGCATGTGGGCAAAGGAGGGGATTGTACTTGACTTGCAGTGGTGGGAGAGGCAAGTTCCCCCCATGGCTGCTTCCTCCTGCTGCCCAGTGTAATGGTGCCGAGGCTTCACAACACCCTCTGGCAAAGACCTGACCCTCTCTGTGGCTGTGGAAATCTGCTTCTGCCTGGTCAAGTCCACCAGAGCATGGACTTCCATGTTGTATGTGTTTAGATCAGGCTGCCTTGGTGGATCTCTGACTGAGCTAGCAACCTCCCACTGCAGGTGATGTCCAGACACACGTATCCTCATCGTTAGCTCCCTGAGACACAGTGAGCCGAGGATCCAGGGGAGAGACATGCAGTCCTGGGTACTCTGCACTGTCTGCAGGAGGTGTCATGGAGCTGCCTCCTACATGGAAGTGGGAGTTGGGACAAAATTCGGACAAACGGCTTCTTTCTGGTTTGCAAGTCTGTTAGCTTGAGTGACAGTTCCAAAAACCTCAATTTCATCTGTCTGGCAGTAAAAAAAGTATCCTCCTTTGATAGATCTCACTGAGTAAATGAGATTGAGCAAAGATATAGGGAGTGGGAAGTGAAAAAGCCTGGATGTTTTGCTCAGGCTGACTGTCTCCAGGTGTGCAGAGTCAGCATCAGACCCTGCAGAACTGAGGCGGCATGTTGTCCCCTTTCAGCCAGTCTCTCGTGGTCCAAGGAGTGGAGATGGAGTTGTATGTGCTGGGAGAGACAGAGAGAGTAAAATCGGGAGCCAGAAAGAGGTGCTGGGTGCCAGCACTGAACTCGGACATGGGTTAAGTTTCAGGACAAGAGAACATAGGGAAAAATTTGTTAGGACAAAGACAGTAGCACAAATGTACTTGGCTTTCATCCTTTCTGGTCAAAGCCTAGGAAATAAGTGTGGAGGCTACCTCTGGAGCTTGGCTGCATTGTCAAAGCAGCAGTTCCCTGTGAGCTGCCTAGCTCTTCAGGATGATGATGCTCCTCTGTCTAAGCAAGTCCAAACTGATCCATTTCCTTGTGGCAAGTGACAGGGAGCCACTGTAGGATGAGGAGCTGCCAAGCCGAGGCAAGGGATGGAGGTTTCTTCAGTTCTGCTTTATCTGCTCGCTTGAGGGTTGACTGTGGTACTGTGCCTTGTGCTGACCTGGAAGGGACCGAAGCACAGAAAGGAGATTTCCCATCTCTGTTTTTTTTTCCTTTTCTCTTTTCTTTCAAAAAGTTGGAGATCAAAGATGGAAGCCTGCAGCACTCTTGAGTTTTGAGAGATTTGAATCTCAGATACTGCAGGCATGCCAGTGCTTCCACATTGCCTTAGGTAAAAAACCCCAGAGCTTTCTGCAAAAAGTAAAACCTCTTGTCAGTCTTTCTTTGCTTTGATACATGCTGTAAAACCCTGCATACCTCCTGGTACAGAAAAGCAGCCGCCTGACCTGAAAGGAGTCACAGCTGATGACAGCATTGCATGAGCTACCTGCTCGCTGTAGAGCTACTAAAAACCAGTTTGGAGAGAGGGGTTTGTTTTCTATTTTGGTTGTGATTCCCCCCCTGCCCAAACCTTTTGGATCCCACAGTGGGAAGCTGTGTGGCCATTTGGGAGGTGATTGGCAGTGCCTGTGTGACGCATTTGCCGTGTGCCCAGTCCCTCTCCACGTGCCCTGGCAGGAGCTCAGCCAGATCCTGTGCTCTGCTTTGGGATTTTCCAGGCAGAAGTTTGAAGACATAGCTCCTCATAGCATGGTTAATCCCAAGTGTCACACAGAGGAATTAGAGGTTGCCTGAAGGTGTGGGTTAATTATGGCCAAGCCTCTGCAGGTAACAAAATCAGTGTGAAGTGCCCTTTGCTTTGAAATTTCATCATGAGAAGAGCAGCCAAAGGGTGTGAAATGACAACACTCTCCTAGACTGGACCCAGCAGGTATTTTGAGGTGTGAGGACATTGCAATTTGCATCAGCACCAGGAAGAGTCCACCCTGGAACGATAGAGCCAGGCCTGGGCTTGGTGCAGTAGGACCCGAGGAGCGCTGGCTGACTGAGGCTGGGCACCTTTGCCAGGATGAAAACTCCGATCCCACAGCCGTTCCCTCTCCCCAGCCTCTTTGTTCAACTTGCTTTCATTTTCTGCACTCAGGTTTTCACTGCTCCTGCTTATGCATGATGGAGATCATGTTCCCACCGCCGTAGTTATTGCGTGAACCCTTTTGTTTGAGGTGAGGATACTGAGAATTTGCTCAGATCCTCCTCCACGAAAACTCACTCCTCCCTGTGAAGTCATTTATGCCTGAGGCAGGTGGTGAATGCTTTTGAAAACCTTGGTTTGACACTTGCATGTTAAAACCTTCATTAGAAAGATATTTGTGGCTGTTTCAAGAACTTGTGTTGGGTCTCCAGCAGCAGGTCCATTAACCGGTCTTGATTAAACAGTTTCCAAACTGATTATTTATTAACCGTGTAGAAGCCATTTGGGAAGAGGTGATGTTGCAAGCTGCTGCTTCTTGGGCACAGTGTTTTATCCGTACTTGAGTCATGTCTCGTGCTCGGTTTGGGTACTGCAGGGACGGCGGGATAGTTTGCAAGGTAGAGGAGTCCTTTGGCTCGGCACTGCCCGGAGGGTGTGGAGGGGCAAGGTGGGATGTGAAAGATTTGGCAGTCTTGGTTTCCAGGCTTTCCAAAAACTTCAGCCTTCTTTAGCTGATGCTCTATGAGTTCCCTCCTGCCTCGTCTGTTCCCCTGCACAAGGTTTGAGTTTGAATCTGCTGCTGCAAAATTGAGTCTTGCGTTGGAAATCCTTACTCTCAAACCACCAATATTCTCAGGTTTGTGAGTATGATCCTGCTGTTCTTCAGAAGTACTTGAGCAGTGTGTGAGCCCGTACTTGTGCTCAGAGCGTGTGCTCTTGAAACGTTTCTGCCTGAGAGAGGCCAAACAGATTCTCTTTGGGCGCCTCATTGCTTGGGGAGGAGAAGGGAGGTTTTCCTGCCCTGTTCTCTGCAAGTCCCTTCATTAACTGCACCTGTCTTGTGCTAAACGTGCCCTACTGCTGTGTCGGCTCTTTTCAGAGAGCTTTTCTACTTTTTTCCCACCACGGTGACAGCCGTCTTAGTTTGCTTTTCCCAGAGAGGCTCCCGGGATGGATGGATGGATTGTGGGTCATGCTGTGCTCTGGCTGGCAGAGGAGCTGCCAAGAAGGGGCTGTGCAGATAGCACTGTCCCTTGCGTGAGCTGTAGCTCTTGCAGAAAGCAGCTCCTACCATCCTGCCATCCAGGGAACAAGGCTGTGTGCCACAGCCATGTGTGGAACTGGCAGCATCATTTCCAGGGCCCAGGGAAGAGGGTGCCAAAATCCTGGCCACAGAAAGGTTTTGGCCCATGGTCCTTGTCCTGGCTGTAAGCTAAAGCACTGCCAAGGTTTCTTTCTGGAGCAAGAGTCCCTTGTTCCAGAGGAGCACGTCTTTCTGGGAAGCTCTGGGTTGGATATTAGGAAAAATTTCTTCATCAAAAGGGTTGTTAAGCATTGGCACAGGCTTAGTTGAGTCTGCATCTCTGGAGGTATTTAAAAGATGTGTAGATGTGGTGGTTACGGACATGGTTTCGTGGTAGACCTGGCATCGCTAGGTTAGTGGTTGAACTCAAACTGCTTAAAGGTCTTCTCCAGCCTGAGCAGTTCTAGGAGTCTATGATCCACCGCTCTGGCAAGCCCCAGCTGCTCTCCCCATCCATCCATAAACTTTTATCACAAAATTCAGTCCTGACATGCCTGTGGGGGGGGCATGACGGGAGGACAGCTCAGCATCAGACCTGCCCTCTTGGGGCCTCCAGCCAAGACAGAGATGCTGAACTAGGTCCAGCCTTTCTTCAGCTGTTTCGGATGTCCTCACAGTTTGCAGCTGGCTCAGATGCCATCATCCCATGGGTGGCATTATGGGGAGGGGCTCACTAAGGACATCCCGTGGATGCTGTGGGGGGAGAGCTTAGGCTCAAGCTCAGTCCCTCACAGGCACACCGACCCAGTGTGGCAAGAACAGCATCCAGCAACAGGTGAGAAGCTGCTGATGGCAACTGTTAAATTTAAGTCACTTAACTGTTTTTATTTGTTTTTAAATTAGGATGGAGAAGAAGAGTTTAACCGTGCTAAACTGCTGAATATAGGATTCGCAGAGGCCTTGAAAGAGTATGACTATGACTGCTTTGTGTTTAGTGATGTAGACCTGATCCCAATGGATGACAGGAACACCTACAAATGTTACAGCCAGCCACGGCACCTCTCTGTATCCATGGACAAATTTGGATTTCGGTAAGACTCCCACTGGAGGGGCATTTTGTTCCTAGTATCCCTGTCAGCCTAGCAGGGCAGGCGCCGTGTTACACATCCCCACCCACCACTGACAGCATGGGAAAGTGTCTCTGGCAGAAGCCTGTCTTGGCGTGTGTGTCCCTTCAGGGAGTGGGATTGGCTGGAGGGGAGGAGTGGGGAGAAACGCAGTCGAGGAGTTTATTAAAATTCACAGCTTCTGGAAAGTGAAACACAGGGTGAGGAAAAACTAGGAGCCCATCGTTTTGCAGATGCTCGTGTATCCCTTCTTGTGTTTCAGGCTGGAAGACAGCTAGTGTTTCCACCCAGTCTGAAAAGTGAGACACTGTCACATGGCGAGAGCCATGTGCAGCTTTAAAAAGACTGCATCAGGCACTATTTTAAGAGCAAAATGAAATATTTTTGGTGGTTTGATTTCGGGCTGCTGAGGGAGCTGGTATCTGAGAGCAACACAAAATGAAGTGCCTTTCAGCACACATTTGGGTTCAGCAAGCTTCTGTAAACAAAGACCTGTCTTTCTTTTCCTTTCCTTTATTTCTTTTTTCCTATCCCAAATCCCCAAGGAGGAGTTTAAAAGCTCATCTATAATGTGAGAGCCAGCCATGACCCCATGGTGCTAGATACAGCAGTCATGTGGGTGGGAGGACCCAGCACATCTCTGCTCCCAGCCCCAGCCCTGCTCAGAGCTGGACCGCCACCAGCACCACAGCAGCTGTGTTTTTTTTCTTGCAGCTAGGTGAAACTTAGAGCAGGAAGGCTGCCCCCAGGGGTTTCTTCTGCTCACTGAAGCAGAGACGAGGTCTGTGGTAGGTCCTGGTGATCCCTGTGTGGGCCCTCCTCTTGTGCTACGGGTCTGAATTTTGTCTGCCCCCGATTCCCCAGTGAGGAGTCTGCCATTCTGAGCAGGAGCTGGTTGGCTTTGTGTGTGCAAGTTGCTGCAGGAAAACAAGGCTATGTGACATCTCGAGTTCTCGATGCTTCCAGGGCATGCACAGGTCACCTATCTGCCCTGTGGCATGGCGATGTTCATCTCAGCAGCCTGTCCTTTGAGGACAGTGTACTTCTTAGCGAGAGCCTGCAGCCGTTGCCAGTTGCAAGATACTTCCCAGGTGTATTTGGGGCCGAGCCTCCATTAATCCAGGACACCAAAACACTGTTCCCTGCTGCAGGGGGGTGCCCTGTGGCAGCCCCTTGGTGCAGGCTCACCATGGGCTGGGGTGAAGAGCACCAGCAACCCCTTTTCCTGTGGTCAGGCTGCTTCTCGGCCAGTACCTCACCTCCTCTGATGTCCTTTTCTCCCCGCTTCCAGGTTGCCTTACAACCAGTATTTCGGAGGTGTGTCTGCCTTGAGCAAAGAGCAGTTCACTAAGATCAATGGGTTCCCAAACAATTACTGGGGCTGGGGTGGTGAAGACGACGACATTTATAACAGGTAAATAAATATCCCCTTTGGCATGCAGAGGTGGGGATGAGCACAGACTTGCTGCTCTTGCCCAGGTGTGGGGGGATACAGGGTTTCACCCTGAATGTGGGAGCCCCCTCTCTGTGTAGAGGATGGAAGTGGCACATGGGTGACCTGCAGGCTCAGTGAAAGTGTGTTCCTGCTTGCTGCTGGCACCCCTTTTTGCAGCTCTCAAGGTGTGCTGGAGAGTTGGTCTGGCTGGAAAAATCCCACCCCTGACCCACACGGCCTCGCAAGCCCCCACACTGGTGCAGGGGTTGGAGCACTGGCTGAAGAAAGGGGATTCAGGGTGTGCAGTGAGGTGGAGGAGACCTTGACTCGTCTATCTTAGTGCATCCTGAGGCTTGCCTGGGTCTGCAGCCTGGTACCAGGTCCCTTTGTTCCCAGGAGAGCTTTGTTTGTCAGGCTGTAAGTGACTTTAAATAACGCCATGAGCCCTTGCTTCCTGCGCGGAAGGAAGCCGAGCAAAGCTCCGAACTGCAGGGGAAGGGGCGGGTGTTGCATGGGGTGAGCAGGGGCCACCCCTGCCTGAAGACTGAAACAGATGGTGGATGTGGGATTGTGCTACCTTACAGCTTCAGGAACTCAGGACAATTGCTGTGAGAAACTGTTGTGTGGAGTGCTGATTTGGGAGGCACTCTTCACGTTTCTCCACAGTGAAACCTAGTCTGCCTAGCGCTTGCTCTGGGCTCTCCAGGCTCTTCTGGGCTTCAGGAAGGGTCTTCCTAAAAATATCGGTACCTTCCTGAGCTTCAGTGCTTCTGTTTGATAAACCAAGCCAGGGTCAGGCTTCCAGTGGGGCAGGGCATTCAGAGCAAGGTGGTAGTCCGCTCTGTTTTGGGCATTTAGGTTTTGAGGAGTAGAAGGCGCTGCATAGAAAAGAAAAAGGAAATGCAAAGAGGAGGAAGCCAGGTACTTTTTCAGCATCAGTGTCCGTGAGCTGCAGGTGCCTTGCAGAGAGCATGCAAATAAAGACAGGCAGTGAGTCCAAGCTGAGACCATTGTGGCTCTGACTGTGTGTGTCCCCCTCGTGCTGCTTCATCATCATTTGCTTCAGTTTCTACCAGCACTGCAGCTTTCACATCCTGAAAAAATGAGTGCTCTTCTGGCTGTGTTCCAGATGGGTTAAAAACTAGATGCCTCCCATTCAAATTCCTGTCTGCAGCCTGGAGCAAGGTTAACGTGGGCGTTGGGAGTTGGAGGAGCTGGTGAGGGTGCGGTAAATTATCAGATCCGTGGTGTTGGCAGGGGGACATCTCTTTTCTCCCCACGCTGATGTATGGAAAGGGACTGGCTTCCCTCCCTTTTGGTGATAATAAGCCTGCAAACACACTAGCTACGTCTTTAAAAAAAAAAAAAGAAAAGAAAAAAATAAGGCAAAAACCCCCAAACCAATGGTCATTTGTGGAAGGTGTGACAGAGCACCCCACATCCGCCTCCTGTCATGGGTGTTCAGTGTCCTTGCTTTTCACAGGCTGATGTTTAAAGGCATGGGGATATCCCGTCCGGATGCCGTCATTGGGAAGTGCAGAATGATTCGTTTCCCGGGACCGGAAGAACGAACCCAACCCCGAGAGGTGCGTGTCCCCCGTCCCAGGGGTTCCAGGGGTGCCTCCCGCCCTCTGCTGCTCCGGCTGCCTGGCTTTCTCTTTGCTCTGCAAAAAGCCTGACCCAGGAAAGCCATCAGCCATCTCCTCCCTTGCTGACCTCTCCGTTCCCCGCACTGTAAGCTGATCTCTTCCCCACACCAGTTGATTACCTTATTGCAGAACTTTTCCCCAAGATTTCACTATGACACAAACACCTCTCACTTTTCCTTTTTTTTTTACTTTTTTTTCCACCTTAAGCACAGCAAATTAACCTCTGATCAATTGTTTCCAGCTTGTCTTTAGCATATAAAACCTGTTCTTTCATGCAGAGCTGGAGAACAACCTGTGATTTAAAAGCCTGGCTGCTTTTTACTGCCTTTGCCCACTGCTCAGGCTGGCCAAATCTGGGGGTTTATGGGACCTGTACTGATACTCAAGTTGTTCTTGAAACACCAGAAATGCCGCCTGAGGTGCGATAAAAATGTCAGTTTAAGTTGTTTAAACTTCTCTCCCCCTTTCTTTCTTTCTTTGTTTTTTTCCCCTTTCTTTCTTTGGTTTTTTTCCTCCTTTCTTTCTTTGGTTTTTTCTCCCCCTTCCTTCTTTTTTTTTTTTTCCCCCTTCTGCAGGTTTGATCGAATTGCTCACACAAGGGAGACAATGAGCTCTGACGGCTTAAATACACTATCTTACAAGGTGTTAAGAACTGACAAGTACCCTCTGTATACAAAGATCACAGTGGATATTGGCTCACCAAACAGCTAACACCACAGACACAGAGAGACCTTGCCTGCATTGCCCAAGACATCTGGCCTCACTGGTACTTTATATCCGCTGGTTTTATAACAGTTGCAATGAACAACAACAACAACAAAAAAGGCCTCTTTTGACATGCCAAAGCTTCTCGGAATTGGTTGGACAAGTGCTTTTTTTTCTCTTTTTTTAAATTCCGAACTTGACTTTACACAACTTTTTAGCTCTCCATTGTTTTGTAAGTCCAGAAGCTGTACATAAGAGTTGTAAATATTTACTTTGCCAGAAAATGTTAAATCTGACCTATTTGCTGCAGTGCTCCCCAGGTTAATTGCTGGACCCAAATTTTACTGATTACAGCTGTGATGCATCAGCAGTTACTGCCCATGATATCTGGTGTTTTAAATGAGGTGGATGAAAACATTCCTTTTAACTGATTCCATGTTTTACTTTATGAAGGACTGTAAAATGCTGCTAAAATTGTACAAGTTTACGCTTTGCATTAGATTTTTTTTTTAGTGGAGACAATATATATTTTTTTTCTTACAGTGACCAAAACAAACATCTTCTCTGTGTGCAGAGCAAGTACTGAACAATCAAGTCTGGATTCAATGAATGTCATTATTTCCTTTAGTCTCAAATGAGGCTTTGAGTGAGTTGAGCCAGAGTTTGCCAGAAATTGACAGTGAGCTCTCTGCATAGGGTTGGAGCTACGCGGATGGCATCTGCAAAAACCGCTGGCTTCAGATAACCTTAAATCTGGACGTGATAGTGACTTTTTGTGTCAGCACAACACCACCTGCTTTTTTTGTGTTTTTTTTTTTTTGGGGGGGGTGGGGAGGGAAGAGAGTGGTTTTGTGTGTTTTTTATTTCCTGAAATAAAGATGAATTATGTTAATTGCACGATGAAATTTTGGCCTTAAAATTTGCTGACACTTGTCGACAGTGGTAGAAAGAAAGTTACAGCACTATTTAAACATTGTCTGAAGCTTCCTAAAAACTTTTTTTTTTCCTTGCAAGGTCATGCATAAAACTTGAATTCACTTATTACTTTCGTTGTTGTAACGTTTTAATATTTTTTTAAGTAATTTGTATATCATAAGCAGTATATTTAATACCAGATTAAACTAGGGTGCAGCATAATAGGATATGATTCAAGGCCTCTTTTATCTTCAGACTAGTAGGCTTTTTATGTGCGTCATTATATATAAGCCATGTATTATATTTGCTCTGTGTATTTGTCCATGAAATCTCCTGTGGTGCCGAGATATTCACAGCAGGGCTCACGTCCAGTCAATTTTTCTTTGCCTAAAGCCCGTTGCAATGCGTGTCCTCTATCGGGAAACTCCCTCCTGGTGTTCTCCTGCTTTGGGGCACATGCGGGTTTTGGAGCACTGCTCTTGGTCAGGACCCCAGGGCACCACCTGCACAGACACCCTGCTTTTCCTTCCCTGTGAAAGCCTCAGACGCTGACACCCTCGGAGCTGGTTTGTGTGATTTAAAGCTCTCAGCCAGAACCAAACTCCTTCTGGTGAGTACTTCGCCACCAGCTCTGACCACAGCAATTTGCACTTCTCGGCCTGTGCTGAAGGCAGTTAAAATCAGGGACACTCACTGTATTGGGGATCATCTTCAGCACTGCCTCTTCTCTTTTATTTTGTTTTGTTTGTTTTTCTTTTTTTTTTTTGGTAGATTTTTGGGTTGGGGTGGGTTTTTTGGGGATTTTTTTTTGATTTTTTTTTTCCTTTTTGTCAAGACCTGAAGATTTAAGCTGAGACCTTGCACTGCAGGGGTGGGATCCTGCAGGGACCAGGGGACAGTGCGTTTCTTCTTAGGCCAGCAGTGGCTCAAAATATGCATGGAGACTTTAATTACTGGGGAGGCACCCAGCTGCCTTTTCAGACTCTCTCTGAAAAACGCCCCTTCATGTAAATGCTGTTGCTGCCAGACTTGCTGCTTCACGCGTGCTGGGAGCTGAGCGAAGGTGGTCTGGCATGGAGCAGGAGCAAAGTGCAAGGGAGGCTTGTGTTCATGAGCCGCTTTCTTGTACTTGTTGTTGCAATAAAAATAGTTGTTCCTGTCTGGCAAATCAGGCTCCAGCTTTCGCAGATAGGAGAGGGTACAAGAAGAGGCTGTGTTACAGAAGTTAGGTCAAATGTCTCCCTGTAAAACATCACTGTAGCTGTAGTCTGCACCAGGAATGGAAACACAGACAAGGGCTTTATTTTTTATTTTTTGAAAGGTGCCTTAGAAGCAGGGCCCTGCTCCCACAGGTGACAAATCAGCACCACAGCTCATCAAAGTGCCAGTAAAAATCAGAGGTCTCTGCAGAGAGCGCCTTGATTTTATGCTGAGCCTTTTACAGGATGAAGAGTTGGGACCTTCAGCTGTATAGGTGTCTGCTTACAGGCTATGCAAAGGGGCTGCCTATTGTGATTGAATGATTGGTTTCTGGAGGGAGTTCCTTGCCTTAGGATTCTCCGAAGGTTGGAATAAAGTTAGTGTAAAAACTCATCCTTTTGCTTTTAAGGTGAAGGCAGTGAATGTCACGGAGGTGGTCTGTGCACTTATTTCTGGCTGTTGCAATCGAAGGTTTCTACGCATGTGCCTTGAGAGAGGGGTGAAATGAAAACTGGAAAACCAGGAAACCTGAAAACTATTTTCAGCAGAGAGACACTAGCGGCAAAAGAACGTGTCACTTAGTTTCTCTTCTACTGCTAAAGCCACAAGCCATATAAAAGCCAAAGTTGCCTTTCGTTGCTTGTTTCACCCTTCGGTGCTGACCTGTGGTTTCCAGATCTCGTTGTCCCTGTGTAAACTCTATTGGTCAAACTCACAAAATGCTCTTGAATCAACCTGGCTGTGAAATTTCTCTCCCTGGGATTTTTGGGGGCCTTTTCTACAGGCACTCATGTTGCACAGAAATGAATTCTGGCCATGACCCGTGGTGGGTGGTGTTTTTACCTCCAGTACGGGTAGCAACACTCAAAGCGATACTGTGTGTAACGGCTGAAACTCAGAACAAATACCTGCAAAGGAAAGGCTAGTGCTTGGTTTCTTTGGAGTTACCGTTTGCTTTTTAGTTTGCAGAAGGGTCCTGGCACGCAGCTTCTTACTGGGTTTTTACTTGTGTACTGGACTGCTATGGATTTCCTGTAGATGGTTCTGCTTTTTTGCGTTTTTATCATTCATATATCAAGGGATGTATAATCTGATGTTCTTACTTTACTATTGTCAAATAAAGTATTTTCAGTAATGACGTCTGGGAGCATTACTCTGAATTACCCCTCTGGCTGGGTGAGTTTCTGGCTGGTGGGGCAGACTGGGACACGCTTTACCCTCCTTGCATTAACTTTCTCCAGCTTTTCCCTGCTCTGGCTGTGCCCTGCCCAAGTGAATTCGTCTCTCTGTGCTGCAAAAATTTTACTCATGTTAAGAGAAACAGATCCAAGAGTCCCCAGATGACGGCAGAGAGCCTCAGCATGGTTGGTTTACCTGTGGGTAGGACAGGATGCAAGCCCCTCCTGAAGCCAGGCAGGGGGTGCAAGCTGGAGGCTGCTTGGGGCAATCAGGCCACTGCTTGCTCCCCGGTGCCTGTAGGTTTGGCTGGAGTGTGGAAATGGAGAAGTCATTCCTGGAAACTGATCCAAATGTTTGCCTGTGTTCCTTGGCACTTTCTCATGAAAACAGTTTCCATGGAAGAGATCTTTCTGGCTGCAGGACTGAGGCTAAGGCTAGGAAGCTGGCGTGAGGTCCCCAGTGCTCTCTAGCCAGAGGGGGACTGGTTCCCAGCTGGGACCAGCCTCTACAGTCCAGGCTGGGAGAGCGGACAGGACATCCCAAAGCCTTTACAGTTGCCTTAAAGCACGCTCTGATGACCATATTGACAGGAGGGCTCTGGAAGAAGGCACCAGCTTCTGCCTTTTCATCTCCCCAGGGCTGGCTACCCAGGCGTTCATTGGCTTCTGAACCCCAAAGGCGTTGTTGCATTGGAATCTTGAGCGTTTTCTTCTCATGGTTCAAAGTTTGCTATCTAGGTGCAGAAAAATGATCAAAAAGGGACCTTCCACTTGCTCTTGCTTCTCTCCCCAGAGTACTAAGCTGTTCCTCCCCTCCTTCTCTCACATGAGTGAGGAATGGGCAGGAGTCAGAGAGCTCAGTGGCTGGAAGAAGCCCTGTGTGGAAATTTTGTCCCTTGCTGAAAGCAGCAGCTGAGAAGTATCAGTAGGGTTTCACCCTTCACCCTAGTAGTTACCAAGGATTCCCTGGACCAGAGCAGCATGTGGCTTGTAGAGGATCCCATGACTCTTTTGCTGTGAGACTCTATTTGCTACTTACTGTAGCAGAGATTCCTTTCCCACCTCCAACTACACCTTCTGCCGGGGAACAGGATGGGTGAGCAGAAGTCTCTGACGTTTATCCCACATGTTTACTCTGCTACACCTTTCTGTTCTGCAGCCCGGGGCGGGGCGGGGGGGGGAGGCAACAAAAAAGAGGCTGTTGTTAGAAGGAAGGAAAGGGCTAAGCTGGACTTTGCTGACCCCTTTTGCTCTCTTGGAAGGAGTTCGAAGTGGGTGTGCTTGCCCTTTGCTCTTGCTCTGTGTCTTGGCACAGCAGTGCTGACTCTAGTTCCGTTCTTATTTCCTTATGTCCTGTTTGCAGGATGTCTATGTTCTCGAGGACAACGCAACTGTATGAAAACTCTGTTTTCTGTCTAATCAAGACAGCGGCCCTGCTACAGGAGCCTGCTTTCCTTCTCCATTCACTACGTTCAATGTTACTGCCAGCAGCACAGATGAAACCACAAGGACAAGATGCCTGCAGAGCCAGAGGTGACTGACTTCTCCAGCCTGCACTAGATCTCACAGTGAAGAGCTGAGTGGGGAAAACAAGGGGCTCACCCTGGTTACCTTCCTACCCTTCACGTGCTTGAAAATGATCTCTAAGAAGTCTTGCTCCGTGATTTTTCCAAGGATGGAGATACTGCTTACAGATTGTTGTTTACCAGATCCTTCTGCTTGCTCTTCTTAGGAGTGGGCATAATACCAGTCTTTTCAGCCCTTTCCCAGTTGTCATAATATTCCACCATGACTGACAGCAGCTTCATTCAGCTCAGCTAGCAGTTAGCTCCTACAAGCGGGCACCTTCCATTCCAGCAGATATGAGTATGCCCAGC